TGGGCATCGTAAGTTAGTCATCCAATCAACACCCCAAACCGCATAAGCACTCTCCTCCAAACTGTTCATGCTTCCAGGTGTTGGATCTATAGTTTCCATGCACAGATGTGTGCCTCAGCAAAAGCCCTCGCTGAATGTATTTCGAGAGGAATCCTGCTGCACCCTTGGAGGCAGAGCGGGCTTCTTACAGTAATGCCACTCCGTGTCCCTCTCACGTCATAAGAGGTGGGCCCCGACTCCTCCTCAGGTTATCAGCTCAGGGTCTCCAGGGAAAAGAAAAGCATAGGGAAATGCATGAGGCTGGGCAGCTAAAGCCTTACGTGAAACCAACGTTAGTACGTTATCAGAAAGCTAATGGCTAGATTCAAGAACCTTCCTAGGGAAGCTGGCCCGGGAACTTGCACAATGTTAGGCAATGGAAAAAGTGCGAGTTCATTGTGTGCACCTCCCACAGCCCCACCTGGGCAGATGGGTGGCCTGGAACCTCCCTGATTCCAGCAAGCAAAGTCCTGCTGTTCCTTCTTAACTCATGTTTGGAACCTCAGGCTACCCTCCAACTCCTTTCATCTGGAAAAAAAAACTAAAACCACCCTTAAGAAGCCTTTGTTTCTCAAGCAAGCTCTGCTGGGGGCCAGCCTGCCTGCAGAACCGCCCGCCCAGTGAGCAGCCCAGCTGTCATGCTCTGGCTAATCCCAGGAGAGCTCCATTTGCCAAGCAGGCAGTTGTGTTGGTGATGAGAGCACTAGTTGCATGAATGGTTCACGGTTCATCATCAGCCTCAGGAGGACTTGGCCTCTGCTGGAATTTGGCAGCGTAGCAACCTGCTGGTAAGGGCCTTTACTGGTTTTCTGGAGTTCACATTATGCAGCAAGAGAGCTCCATTTCAAACGTAAGTCACCCTCACTCACAATGTTGAGCCTTTTACATTCCCAGCTGCCCCAGCTAAAGAATTCTACCAAAAGAAAAGGCGTAATGAAGGGCTGTCCCCAAGGATTAAACAGGGAAAAGCCATTCTGTCCCCGGTTTTAATCCTTGATAGAAATCTCTCCCTGGCAAAACAAGTCCAATTTGTCTCAAGGTTTACACAGTCTCAGCTCTGTCTACTTCTCTCTGACAGAACTAGGTATTACAAGGGACAGATGTGATGGGCCATACCTGGTCCTAATGGACAATAAATACAGCACCTGCCGCCATGTCAGACACATAGCTACTTGTTGACTTATACCTCGCTCTAACAGGAACTATTTGTTGAATTGATGTTAACTAAAATAGGAAAGTCTTAAGACGACTTAGAAATAAGACATGGTGGTCTGGTATGTTAACCCTTTGCACTCCGAACCATTCTGGACATTGGCTACCAGCTACTCGACACTAACGGCGGAAACGTGCATTGAATTAACTCAATTCCCTGTAATCACTAATAAACTGCAATGTCCCCTGAGAGGGGACATCCGAGTGATATGCTAGAATTCCGATGTCCCCTCAGAGGGGACAGCGGAGTGCAAAGGGTTAATGTGCGGATTAAACTAGAGACATTTATTGTGAGACCAGTGCTACAGATTACATCAGCACCTTTTGGGGAACAAGGCACAGCTGAACCACCAAATGATCGTGAACTCCATTCAGTTAAAACTGTTTGAATTGCAGTTTCCAGGAGCTTATAATACCTTGGAACCTGATGAATTCTGACTTAGGTTTTTTTATGTGGTCTCTGACTTGCTTCCCTGACTTTCCAGAATAAAAAGGCAAATTTTGTGATTCTATGGGTTTTCATTTGCACTTTTGCTGTGGCTGGAATTGAACACACTGAACAAACTAAGCACCTAGTGCTCCTACTATGTGCGAATAAGAAAAGAAACTTAGTAAAATGCTGGCAATAAGGACACAAGGAATCTGGCAAAATGAAAAGATTTTATTGGGCAAAGCAGCATAAATTTTAATATAATGGGGGCACATCACATCAATGTTTGAACAATTCTTTACATGAGGAAAAATTCCACTGAATCTAACAGATTAGCTGACACACATTATCAGTAAAAATAACAACAAAAACAGTCTTGTTTCTCTTTGAGTTGGTGAAAACATCTCCTGAGGCTGTAATGGGCTGCTACTTAAAATCACAAAAATTCTGACAAAAATTTAGGGTGGCAGAAGAGTCAGTTGGCCATAATTCTCCGCATGTGAGTTTAGGAGAATTTAATATCATGTGCTTCTAATTAAGCTTAAATTGTCACCTGTATTTGTGTTTCTGAAAATGGCAAATAGAACGGCAAATTCTATCTATAATAAAAATCTAAGTGGCTACATAAGGGCTGGCGAGAGCAGAAAGAGAACTTTCCTTCCCCAGCTGGAGTGGTCCAGAGCCCGGGGACAGACTGCCACAGGACAAGTGAGCCACGTCGCCATGGAGAGCAGCGGATGACCTCATGCACAAGAAAAGAGGAGCAGAGAATGGAGCACAACAAACCAAAGAACATTTATTATGTGCAAGAGACAGATGGTGACAGGGATATTTTATTATAAAATACTTCAAACATACATAAAGTCCAAAAAGTAATAAAGCTCATGTATCCACCAACTAGACTAATCCAGTATTAATAGGAGGCATATTTTCTTCAGTAACTTTATGTAATAAAAAATTATATATACAGTAGGAGGCCCCCATGCATTCCTTCCTGATATTTCTGTGAATCTGGTACAGATCTTCTATGCAGGTTTATATATTTGGAAGGAAGAACTTGGGAAAATAAAACTACTCTACCTAATAGAAGAGCAGTAAGCAAACAAAAGTGGAGGCATCAAAGGTCATTAAAGAAAACGTCAAAGAGAAAAGGTTCCGTTAAACAAACACACAAGATGCTGTCCTTTCTCTCCTAGTCTAGCCTTCACTGTTTCCTCTCTCATAAGTGTTTATTTCCAACAGACTGTTTCTGAAAGAGAAAAATCAACTATCATTATGCCGTATATAAAAGCTTGGTCACCGTGGTTCTTAATTTCTATCTTAAGTACGTACAAGCAAAACAAATATTCACTTTTAACTGAAATTATATATTAAATCAGAACTGCCAGTTAAAAAATTAACCACTATCATAACAATGTAATGTGTTAATTAGAGCTGTTTGTACTCCCCCTTCACAAACATAAAATATAGCTGTGTAGACTCTCCTTCTACTATAAAAATATTTTATATTAACTAGTATGCTGAAGCACCTATTTATCACTTTTGAGCAAAAGGTTAGTTTTATGTTCTCAGCACCACATCACTCCTACAATTACTAACAAATTAAAACAAATTTCTCCAGAGATGATGAAACAAAATTAAAACACATTTTCTCTATCTCTAAGAGCAGCGGTCGGCAAACTGCGGCTCGCAAGCCACATGCGGCTCTTTGGCCCCTTGAGTGTGGGTCTTCCACAAAATACCACTTCAAGGGCGAGTCTATTTTGAAGAAGTGGCGTTAGAAGAAGTTTTAAAAAAGTTGGATCTCCAAAGAAATTTCAATTGCTGTACTGTTGATATTTGGCTCTGTTGACTAATGAGTTTGCCGACCACTGTCTAGGAGGAAAGACTTAAAGTACTAAATATTCAACTACATTTTCACTAGAATGAAGGAAATATACTTAAGTAACCAGGTATGTAATTTTTTCTAATAATATAACCGTAGTTTCATGCACTTCAGATTGATGGAACCTAAAAAGATATTGTAGCACAGCAGACAGGTAAGAAGCAGGAGACGGTAAAGTCAGCTTTAAGTCAGAAGACCTACTTTCCAGGCTGTGTGATTTTGGGCAACCATGGAACCTCTCTGAGCCTCAGCCTCCTCACCTATAAAATGGGGTCGTACTTTCTTTTCAAGGATGCTGTAAAGATGAACTCTGGGATTAGATGTAAAAGTCCCTTTTAAATAGAGCACCACCCAAATACATGGTATTACAGTGTATTCAAATGTAGATAAAATGTGTATTTATTACCACAGAGGAAAAGTCAATTCAAAGACTATGCTTTAAATAATGTCTTCACTCTATTCAGAAACAACAGAAAATACAGGTTTCGTGTGAAGTTGTGTGCGTCAGCACTCTCCGCAATCCTTGGGAAAAAGCCCAGAACACAAGTGAAAAGTAACAGAGCACGCAAGTTCATCAACTTGACTGGCACTAGCACTAAATTCCAGAAGTTCATGTCTTTGCATGTTCCTTAATCTACGAAATTAAAAGTATCATTGATGATTTTAAACCCAAGTACACAAAAAACAGCAGGATTACAACTCAATACATGAAAAAGCACTGAAAGTTGTCATTGCGATTGTAAGTCAGCATTTGTTAAAAACGAACCAAAACTTGTAAAGGAAATAAATAATGAGAATCAAAACTGCTGACCTTGCATTAATGACATTTACCCTCCAACTTGGCTATCCTTTCTTAGAAACAGATATACACTTCACCCAACAAGAGTGCACACATTAAAATAGTCAAAGAGGCTTTGCTTTTGGCTGGAATTATATCTCTTTGAATTAAGTGATAGGGACAACTTCCAACTGGCTGTTTACTGGTCACAAATTATTTCCGAGGACTATTTTAGAACAAAGGACCCCAGATAGTAACAGGGGATCACAGCAAGGGAACTATCATTTAAAACTCACCGATTTTGTCTTTTAATCACTAGAATCGCCACAGCCAAAAGAAAATAGTATGTTTTGTTTGGAAATGCAATGTAGCATCAGTGCAGCCCATTTTCCATTCTTGAACCTTTGGGACCTCCTCACAAAAAATGCTAAACATCCTGGCCGGGGTAGCTCAGTGGTTGAGCATGGACCTAGGAACCAAGAAGTCACCGGTTTGATTCCTGGTCAAAGCTTATGCCGATGTGCGGGCTCAGTCCCCTGTGGGGAGTGTGCAGAAGGCAGCAGATCGATGATATTTTTCTCTCATCAATGTTTGCATCTCTCTATCCCTCTTCCTTCCTCTATCTCTAAAAATCAGTAAAAACTTAAAAAAAAAAAAAAAGCTGAACACTGTTATAACAATGCACACAAGTGAGAGTTGATCTCACATCTAGACACAAAGTATTTCGGGCTATGCTTTACATCACAGCAATTATTATGAGTCCCTCCACATATCAATACGAACACTCCCCAAAATCAAACAACAATTGGAAAGTTTGCTGCAACCTGAACACATACCCCTGGGCTCAGTTCCACTGGCAGTGTCAAAGGAAGATTACCCAATAAAACTTAGGAAAACAGCCAAAACATTACAGCCAGGCCTCGGATCGTTAGCTCACAAAATAAGTACAGCCTCGCAGTGAGCTTTCACTCCAGCAGCTCTGCCCTGAGAACAGGACTGCAGGCCTCCGGCTGCTGGTTACAGAGGTGGCAAAAACAGCAAGTTTTACTTACTTAACTTCTTAACAACTTTTTCATTTCAATAAATTTATTTTGATTGGTTGGATTGTTTAAGAGGAAGAGAAGAATCTGTTCATGTTTTTCAACCTATGGGTGAAAAAGAGAGTAGCATTTAATTTCTCAAAATGTTAAAAGGTTCATTTCACTTAAAGAAAACTTTACCCACTTGTTTCTGTAATTCTGAGCAGCAGCAACTCGTCCTGTTCACCTTTTCTGAAAGTAAATGCAGAAAGTCATCAGATCACATACATGCAATATAAATAACAAAATTCCTCAAGTCTGAACATATGCAGATCTGCCTCTCCCCAGACATGGGTTCCAAACACAGAAGACTTGATCAATTAACTTTTTTAAAAATATATATTTCTTTATTGATTTCAGAGGAAGAGGTAGAGAGAGAAAGAGAGAAATATCAATGATGCGGGAGAATCATTGATCGGCTGTCCATGCTCCACTTTGGGATTGAGCTCACAACCCCGGGCCTGTGCCCTTGGCCAGAATTGAACCTGGGAACCTTCAGTCCACAGGCCAATGCTCTATCCACTGAGCCAAACTGGCTAGGGCTGATCAATTAACTTTTTGTTTGTGCTTCCATGCTATCTCAACTATGTCCAAGGATTTTACCAAATTAATGCCCACGTCTCCAAGGCTTCAGGTCTTCTGCTTCTCATATATGGGCTATCTCTCTTTGGCTGAGGGCAGGCCTGCCAAATATCATCTTATGAAATATCGTAAGATCCAATCTAAAAAAGTGGGTGTTTCTCACTTTCACCAGGATCAAAAGTAACCCAGAAGTAACTTTGAATGCATTTCTAACGTTCTTGGCATCAATTCCATGGACAGTGTTGCTGAGCCTGATCTAAGGACAGTCTGGACTGGCGGCCTGCTTCCATCCAGGGGGGTCCTCCAGGGAGCGTCAGGACCTGGAGCCCTACCACTAGGCTCACAGAGGAGGAGGGGATGTGGCCACGGGGAGTACGGAAAGATGAGTTCAACTAAACTGACAGCGATTCTTAATTACACTTACATTTGTTATTACACTTGGAAAAATACCTTTATTTAGGGCATTCTGCTCTTTAGATGTGATGCTTTTTGCCAGACCATACATCACCAGCTTATCAGTGAGACTGACAGCACCGTTTTCAGAGCTTTTCTCAACCAACACGGTATGGACATTCTTAGTGATTCCTTTTACAGAAAGCGTTACATTCTGATTCAACATGAAGTTTTTTAGTAGCTCTATTACTAGTTGAGAACAGCTTCCATTCAATTCCATCAGTCCTGGGGGGGAAAATTACATCTTAGAGTTAATCTTCAAGTCCCTTTATAAAGGTAGTATTTAGAAAAATTATTTAAGGATTCTAAGGAAAACGCTCACTGATTTTTAGCTAGGTTTATGTATGCTTTGATGTACTACTGCTATTTGCTGCATTAAAAATAATAAAACTCAAGTACTCATTGATCCCTGCTGTGTGTCAAGCACTAATCTAGGTCTGGAGGCCCAAACGGACAAATGGTGCCTCTGTGGACATATACTCATGCGGGAGAAGAAAACAGGAACAGTTTCCCAACTCCCTGAATCAAAACCAAAGCAGACTCTGAGGCAGTGTGTTCTTATCAGCGGGGACCTCCAGGTAAACAAATTGGGAGTAAGTAAAAATCTATTGTGATACTTCAGACACTTTATACAAAGTCCAAGAGAAGAGCTGAAAAGATGCAGATAGTACCATGGGCAGTGTCATCTGAGTGTCTCTAACGACAGAGGCAGGACAGAGCAGGAAGACCTCCAACAAGAGCTGTCAGGTGACTTCCCTTCTCCCCCTCCCCCCTCTTCTTGGCCCTGCGACTCCCTAGTTTTGCAACCTGGGGCAAAACCACCTCTGAACCTGGGCACTATGAAACCATCTGTAAAACAAAGATGGACCGACTCAATGTAGTCTTTGTGAGAATGAAAGAAAGAATAAAAGATAAGATTTCTTTGTGAACTCTGTTGATATTTAGAAATCTTGGCAGTTACTTGAAATACCCATTTGATTCAGACTTACTAGTAGAGCTATAGAACTAACAGGAAAAAGCAATAATCCAGAGACACTCAAATCGGAAAGCGACTTGTCTACCTTCGAACGAACACCTGATAATTTGGAAAGGAAGCTCCAAGTGGCTGGCGGAGATGGGCAGCACTCTGCAGAGAGGCAGCGTTTCCACGTTTCCGTAGTCCGCATAGATCACCCTCACCTCGGCCTCCGACGTCCCCAGAACAACAGCACGGTACCAGAGATCATCACCTGAGAACATAACGGAATTTTTCCAACATGAGAGATAACAGAAAATGCATCTCACATGTATCTTTTATCTGCATCTGGAGGATGGAATATACCCAATTTTTAGAGTAAGTCAAAAGTAAGAGATTCCAAAACAAGGGATCGTGGTGACCGAGGGGGAAATCTAGCCAACAAGGTGGGTGGGGAAGAAGTCCACGAAACCAAGGTGGGTGGTGTTGAAACAACTCCCAGCACGATGGTGAAGGGAAAATTCCAGGATGATGGCTCAGGTCTGGAAGGCAAGCCGTCTAGAAAGGAGTAGTTCAGAAGGTTAAAGACGCCTCAAATACAATAAAAGTTGATAAAAGTACCTTAAGGGTTCACTGAATTTACACTAATGCAGAGAACTGGAGGTAATTAGTGAAAGTATACAGAACACTAGTAACAACAAAAACACCACAAAATAGAAATCTAACTATGGTACACCACTAGCCGTGAACAGTGTTTATACAACACTAGTAGAGTAATAAAGAATTCTTAACCTAGCCCTAACCGGTCTGGCTCAGTGGATAGAGTGTCAGCCTGCGGACTCAACAGTCCCAGGTTTGATTCTGATCAAGGGCATGTACCTTGGTTTGGGCATATCTCCAGTAAGGGATGTGCTAAAGGCAACTGATTGATGTTTCTAACTCTATCCCTCTCCCTTCCTTTCTGTAAAAAAATCAATAATATATATATATTTTTAAAAAGAATACTTTACCTAATCAAAAATTACCACTTACAGTTTCTCAAACCTAATTCATTCTGGAAGGCTATTCGAGAAGCGATTTGTTCGAAAACCAAATCATTTCCCCCCATTAGAAATAATGTAAATGGAATTAATCTATTCCAGACCCCCAAATAATTCCATTTTAACTTTTCTGATATACAATAGATGTCTAATGTACTGATAAACACCTATTGATCCACCATATAGAGTATTATTATCTAGAGCTGGTTATCTAGAAGTACTGACAGATTTTTAAATCTCTACCTATACCCTTGCCTAAGTATAACTGTGGTTATGGAACAGAAAAGCTGAACAACCCCAATATTTGAATTAAACCCACGACCTTTTCTTTAATTTCTCTATCCAACCAAATGAACTGTGCATCTTAAATAACAAGATCCCATATCATCTCGTGTGAAAGAGAACAGAAAAGTGCTGTCCCTAGAAGAATCTTACTTGTGTATTGGGCACAGCACGCATCTCCAGCTCTTGGTATATAGGATGATGGCCTCATCTGAGCAGTGCAATATACTAACAATTCAGTTGTCAATATATACAGTTTTTCTGGATCTCCTAAAATATATAAAAACAATCTTTTGTGAAAAAATTTTCAATACTATTATTATAGTATGCAAAACAATGTTAAATCTAGTCACCAAAAAAAACCCCTCTGTATTAAAACATACATTTATTTTTTAAGAATAAATAAAACCCTATTGGTCATCTTGTGCCGAAGGGATGCGATACTGAGAGGGAGCAAGAAGGAAGCCTGGGGAGATTAATGTCTTGCTTGGGGTTGCTATACTAGGGTGTCACACTTATGAAAAATTATTAAGCTGTATTTTTACAATTGTTTGGTGTGCTTTGCTCCTCTCTCCCCTCCCTCTCCCCTTCCCTCTCCTTTTCCCCAGCCCCACCTCCCCACCTCTCCTTCTCTTCCACTCTATAACAATCAATGAAAAAAATATCCTCGAGGATTAAAAAAAAAAAATTCTCTTAGATGGCTGTTGAACATTAACTTGGTAAACACAATGCATTTAAATAAGAAGTTATACAATAATCAAGACACTGTTTTGTTATAAAAAAAACACACACACAAAACCTGTAGATTATTAAGACTAGGTTGAACAGGTGCTGAATGCAAGGCACTCTATTTATGTTCACACTGTGTTTTTATTCGTAAATCTGCCTGAAGTGCTAATAAGATCAATTCTTCCTTAAAACCTTGAGTGAGACAAAATTGTTACCCTCTTCCTTCTCCCCATTTCCTAATGAGTTCAGATAAGCACTTTCATTTTACAGTTAAAAAGGTTAGCATAAATGGGCCTCACATTTTAATTTCTTACCTGGCATGTCATTTGGCAGAGCATAAAATAAGTTTGGGTTAATGATTTCTAATATGCTGGCTTGTACAGTTTTATCAACTGGCAGTTCTATTGTCCTCCACTGCTGAGCTAAAGAGACAGCTGAAAACATACCAAACACAGGCTCCATGAAACAGGTCCAACTAAGTATTCTTTCCCAGTAATGTCTTTATTCACTCAATTTTTTCCATCAACATTCCCAAATTCCCAAAATAAATATCTGTATCTTCACAAAACAATCTATTCAATTTGAGGGATTTTGTGGGTGTTACAAAAAAAAATAAAAATCCAATCTATAATGAGAACCCTTGAAACCACTGCACTCCTGTAGTATTGTGTTCCTGTAATATATTTCCACTTCTGTAGTATATTTATATCATCCTTAAAATGTCTTCAAACATTAAGGGATGCACAACTGTATGATGAAAGTTTACCTTATAAGTAACTACATTAAAAATGAGTACAGTGTTTGCTGAATAAAACCATCGTGTTTCAATAAATTAATATTAGATTAACTTCAACTAGAGGCCCGATGCGTGACATTCGTCAGAGTAGGCCTTCCTTTCCCTGGCTGCCCCCACAGCTTCCCTCGCAGCCCCGACTTCATCTAGAAGGACGGCTGGTCTAATTAGCATATTATTTTATTATTATGGATAGCTTACTGTAAATCTATATTAATCTATCTCCACAAAGCATATTTCTACAGGAAAATTGTATCCTTCAGAATAGAGAATTTTTCATAGCCTATGAAGACAAAGGATAACACAAATTTAAATAACAAATAAATGGCTTAGAAATGTTACCTTGCTGCCCTGGGGTTTCAATCTGAAGGTCACGTTTATTGACAGGCCTGTGTGCTGTACAGTCTTTTTGTGGTGAACTGGCTTTTGCAACCAGTTGCTCGTCAATGAGAATATCACTAATTATTCTGGGATAACAAGTGGAGAGATCGGTGAGCTCAAGTCCCACTCCATTTTCAGAGATTTCAACCACTCGGGCTTGGAGTTTTATCCCTGCAACGCACATCTGAAATTTTGCTATGGCTTCCTTACTCCAGTGTTTGTTTCTAGGCTGTACATCTGGCAAATACATACAGAACAGCATTAAAAAGAATTCTGTGCCCACGCTGTATTTTTTTTTCTTTATTAAGGTATTACATATGTGTCCTTATCCCGCATTGCTCCTCTCCCCCCCTCCCTCCACTCATGCCCTCACCCCCCTGGTGTCTTTGTCCATTGGTTAGGCTTACTAGAATATGCCATGCTGTATTTTTGCTTCAGGTCAGCAATGTTGAATATCTTTTTCCAATACTCAATTCTGTATCTACATACCCTACACACCCTGCATGTCTGATTTTTCAATAATGCATTTGCAAATGTACCGCTCAGGATCTCTCCTTACTTTCCTACTACTGTGTCTTTACCTGGCATTTTCCCAATTGGCAAAAATAGATTATTATTTAACTTTTAAAAAAATATATTTTTATTGATTTCAGAGAGGAAGGGAGAGGGAGAGAGAGAGAGAAATATCAATGATGAGAGAGAATCATTGATCGGCTGCCTCTGGCACACCCAACCCACACTGGGGATCAAGCTCACAACCCAGGCATATGCCCTTGACCAGAATTGAACCTGGGACCTGCTTCAGTCCACTGAGCCAAACCAGCTAGGGCTATTATTTCTTTTAGAAGCAATTCTTATGTTCTGTTACAAGCAATGATGAGTGACCAATTATACTGGTAAAAAAAAATAATTCACCTTTGTGAACAGTTTTCCAATAATTTCAAAATGTCATTTTAAACTACTTAGCAAAAAATTCTTTTTCTTTGCTAATTTTGGCTTATACCCTCTTCTTAACAGTGATTCTCAAACTTCCATGTACATCTGGATAACCTAGAGGTCTTGTTAAAACATATTTAGGCTCCCCGCCCAAGAGTTTCCAATTTAGTAGCAGGTCTTGAGTGGGGAATGAGAATTTGCATTTTTAAGTTCTCATGTTGCTGCATCTGGTTCAGGGGCCACATATTAAGAAACACTAACATAAAACGTGGTAATTAAAAATAATAATCTGAAACATAATTAAGTATAAATTAAGTAGAAAAAACAACAACAGATAAGCAAAAGAATAAATGAAAAGCGTCTATGCTTCCAGACAGAATACTGTTAACATTTTGGTATCCAACCTTCCACAGTTTTAAGGTAAATACACACATGAACATATATACTCATATTTCTTTTTAAAATATTATAAATATTTATAATAATAATAATAATAATAATAACTATTATGAATATAACAGTGCCCAGGCACTATGAAGTGCTTTTTATACTTTTACTAGTGGCCTGGTGCATGAAATCTATGCACATTAAAAGATAATTTACTAAAGGAAATATTTTAATATTGCTATTTGCCCTTTCTCTATAATAGAAGTGTCAGAGGTGAAAGAAAATTAGTAAAATGTATATGAAAATCTCCCTCCTTTGAGTCTGGGGCACACCGCGGGACTGAGCCAAGGCCCCACCCACGCATGCCTCAGATCCCCAGGCCCGGTGCCAGGCTGAGGGTGCAGCCTCAGGTACCCTGTCAAGCCCTGCTAAGACTGGGGGGATGCAGCTCGAGGGCGGGAGGACCATTTGCATATTAGATCTTTATTATATAGAATCTCTTTGAGGAAGGTACTGTTTCTGTGCAGGGGTGGAAATGAGGGCACAGAGTTGAACCAGTTCGTTGAGGTCTCATGACTGGGAGGGAGCAGAGCCGTCCCAGAGTCCGTCCTCTTAGTTACAATGCTATGCTACATCTCCTTATAACTGCTTTCTTCACTTAAATCATGAACAATTCTTATATCAGTGACACACATTTAACCTCCTCTTAATGACTATGTAATAACAAACAGTGAAATAGGACCTTCTGAGTGCCAGGCTCTGTTCTGAACATTCCTTTAATCCTCACAACCACCCCTTGAACCAGACACTACCATAACCCATTGTATGGAGCGTCATTTAACGCATCTTCTCTTTCTATGTAGGTTGATTTGCTTTTATTAACAGCAGTAGAATGGGTTTCCTTGCAGGGGAACTCTGTAAAATTCCAGGATTAGTTCTTTGGGATAAATGATTGGAAGCAAAATATGACCATGAGAAGATATCCATTTTCCCACCCATCACAGAACAGAAAAGCAGCTGCTTCCCTACTCTGACATCGACAGGGAGTCTGGCCAGTATCTTTAAAAACAAATTTTGAAATTTTATATTATAAAGTAAGATCTTCTAACTTACACAAAATATTAAAATTATAGATATTAATACTTAGATGTTTATGCACTCTAAGTATTAGGAGACAGCAGAGAAAATTTCTTATTCTACATCATACCTACTAACCAACACCTTATCCCTTGAAATGGCAGGGTTAAAAATTCAGAGGGGATCATCTGGAGTTGATCTGCAGTAACTTCTTCAATGTTTCCATAATCCACAAAATGTACTTTAATGTTTCCATTTGGTACAATTTCCTTGACTAAAGCACGATACCAATGGCCATCACCTAGGTTTAACACAAAGTTTATTACATGGAAGTTGTTTCTTGAAAAAGACATCATTTGTCTAGCAGCTAATAACCCCTCTCTCTTTCACAGATGATGCCTTTAGCTTTCACTCACAAATCGCTACAAGAATACTCAAAATCAATTTTTAGAACACCTCCAAAATTTTTATAGCACCACACTTTTCCATCTAATATAAAGATTTCATTCATCACCTATCCTTAAATTATCAGAGTGAAAAGGTAAATGTAAGCATGTCTGTCAATCTGGAAGACTTAAAATACTCTCACTACTACTGACAGATTATTTTAATTGTTACTGGTAAAGCAATAGAAAAAGTAAATAGAAAAAGTCTTGCTGCTGAAACCGGTTTGGCTCAGTGGATAGAGTGTCAGCCTGCAGACTGAAAGGCCTCCAGATTTGATTCCGGTCAAGGGCATGTACCTTGGTTGCGGACACACCCCCAGTTGGGGGTGTGCAGGAGGCAACTGATCGATATTTCTCTCTCATCAATGTTTCTAACTCTCTCTCTCTCTCTTCCTTCCTTTCTGTAAAAAATCAATAAAACATATTTTTAAAAAAAGAAAAAGTCTTGCAATGAAATTAAGTTATCTCATTAAGTTTATCTTCAAAATAAGCAAACACAGGATGACCAGAAAAAACAATAAATTTATAGTGGACAGGTTTTCCATTATCTAATTTATTTTAGTATTATCAGAAATTTTGGAATGAAAAGCATTTAACCAAGTTTAAGTGTGAAAGTACCATTTGGAAGTTCCTGGTCAAAGAGAGAAGAAAAAACATCTTAAGCATTCACTTAATGTCAAGTGTGAAAAATATTTGCTTAAACATCAGAAAGAAAATAGACATTAAAAATAAGGGTTGCTGAAACCCATATAGTTTTATTAAGCAATGTCACCCCAATACATTCAATAAAAATTTAAATTAAAAAAAAAAGGGATTGAATGTCAATAAACAAAAGGTCCTGGTAAAGTCAAGATTGCACCAACTGCAACTTACCTGAGAAAAAAGCACAACAAGGTTGCCCTATTTCTGCCTTAAAGTCATTAGGCAACTTCTGCTGGCAAAGTTCTGCTAGTGATTTGTTCAAATCATTGAGTTTCTTTATAGCTGAAAATACAATACGGAATTTAATATTTTTTTAAAATGCAGAATATAGATTTTTCTTTAAAGCTAAAAAATATTTTAATCATACAATCTCAGGTATATCCCCAAACAACTATTAAGTACACCAAATGCTTTTCCCTTTTCATTAAAAACTGGGCAAATTTGCCAATCAATGTTTCTCTCTCATCCTTGATATTTCTACCTCTCTCCCTCTCTCTTCTTCTCTGAAATCAATAAGAAATATATATATTAAAAATAAATAAAAAATAACTGGGCTGAAACCGGTTTGGCTCAGTGGATAGAGTGTCAACCTGCGAACTGAAAGGTCCCAGGTTCAATTCTGGTCAAGGGCATGTACCCTGGTTGCGGGCACATCCCCAGTAGGGGGTGTGCAAGAGGCAGCTGATCGAGGATTCTCTCTCATCGATGTTTCTAACTCTCTATCCTTCTCTCTTCCTCTCTGTAAAAAATCAGTAAAATACATTTTTAAAAAATAAATAACTGGGCAAATTTTGAGTCATTATTTAGCTAATCTTCCCAGTGAACCCTATGCCAATGATTTACTGAGCACAGTGACAAGACCAGGGCATCGTCATCGGTGTACAGCAGCAAGGCGTTCACTACAGAGTCAGCTCAGCGAAGGGTGCCCAGGAACTCTCTGTACTGTCTTTGCAACTTTTCTGTAAATCTCAATTGTTCCACAGAAGAAAGGGTTTTAGAAAAAGAAGAGAGGCCAAAATCGGTTTGGCTCAGTGGATAGAACGTCGGCCTGTGGACTGAAAGGTCCCAGGTTCGATTCCGGTCAAGGGCATGTACCTTGGTTGCAGGCACATCCCCGGAAGGGGGTGTGCAGGAGGCAGCCGGTCGATACTTATCTCTCATCGATGTTTCTAGCTCTCTATCCCTCTCCCTTCCTCTCTGTAAAAAAAAACAACAATGAAATATATACATATTTTAAAGTGATGGCCAGTTTTAAAAAACAATGTAAAAAATACCAGCACTAAAGAATGCATATCGTATCATTCCATTTATATGACGTTCAAAGCCAGAAAACCGAACCTATGGTAGTAGAAGGCAGGCTGATATTTACTTCTGAGAGAGAGAAGGATAGTGATAGGAAGAGATGAAGGAAACTTCTGGGTTACTGGCAATAATTTATTACTTGGCCTAGATGTTGGTTATGCAAGTGATGCAAGTGTTTTGACTTTGTGATAATTTGACTTTGTGATAACTTATTTGTGTGTGTGTGTGTGTGTGTGTGTGTGTACACACACACACACACACACACACACACATATATGTTGTATTTCAATGAAACCAACAATTAAATTTAAATTTCAAAACTGAATCTAGGAGACATTTTGTGAAATCTAAACTGGTTTAAATATAAGGAGATATGTTGGAAATAGAAACAAGGGCTTAAACTGGAAATAAAAGGCAACAACTAAGTTTAAACAGATCTTTCTTGGAGTTTAAACACAAATGCCCACTTGGCCCTTCTTGGAAAGAGTATTTTTATCACTCTGAACTCATCTTGAGTTATTATCTACACCAAGGTATCTGTGAAAAAAATAAATGAGTTAACTTACCCTCCTCTTTAAACACATGACAGTAAAATTCTCCAGGATTATGTATCAAACAGACCACAATATCTACTGTTTGGTCAACAGTAAGGGCAACCCATGTCCATGCCAATGGATTTAGTTTTGCTTCTACACCCAAGGGAGCTGTGAAAATAAATGAATGTTTTGTAAAGCCAAATGATCTGAGAAATCTACTTTGGAAAAACTGAATTTTCAATGATTCTCTTAGTGAATTCACAGGAAAGTTTACTATCACAATCAACCAGTACATTTCTGACCGACCTTCAGTGGCCAGTGACTCATAAAACTTTCAACAAATATTCAGTTCCCAAACAACTCTTACATGTATTTAGACCAATACTTGATTTAAAAAGACAACAAGTACTCAACATAATTCTTTAATATTTTACTGTATTGATTTTTGAGAGAGAAAGGAAGAGGGATAGAGAGATAGAAACACTGACGAGAAACAACAATTGGCTGCCTCCCTGCACAACCCCTACTGGGGATCGAGCCTACAACCTAGGTATGTGCCCTGACCAGGAACCAAACTGGTGACGTCTTAGTTCATGGTTACACGCTCTACCACTGATCCACACCGGCTGAGCAATTTGAAAACCTACATATTCACAAAACCATCTGAACTCCAGCCTGAACATTGTCTGACTGACGTTTTACTTACCACTGGCTTCTTTCATGTCACTGAGCTTCTCTATCACTATCCCCTTCTCCCGGGCAGTAAAGCCTGCATCTGTGAGGACTTCAGTAACACTGATGTGAGGTGTCATGGATTTATCTAAAAGCTCCACCACGGAACTGTTCTCCAACTTGTCCACCACTTTCACCGTGATCATTGTGTTCTGCACAGTTTTTTTCATTAGACAAATAGCTTCGGGAGTCCAAATTCCTAAAGATGGCTTTACTCCTAACAAAGAATTTTTTAAAGGATGTTAAAGTGTTTCTTACAGCAAGCACTGTGAAGTTCAGCTTCAAATTCCTACAAAGGTGAACTTAAATAATCGGTGATAAACACTGGAACCAAAAAGTTCCATCTAAGCAGAAAGATTCTCTAATCATGAAAATGAAGGCAAATTACAAAGAAAAAGCCTGTAAAAACCTTCTACAATTATAGAAGATAATTGATATGAAATGTCCAGAAAAGCAAATCTGTAGAAACAGAAAGCAGATTCCTGGTTGCCTGGGAGCAAGGATTAACTATACGGTAGGTCCTCCAGTTACGTCAGAGATCCTTTCCTATGGCACCACGTAATGAGATTTTCGCCGTAAGCAGGAACCCACCTACATAAGCACCTACATCACTCACATGGAACACATGCATAGCAGTAATGAACTGAAACAGTAAAAAAATTTAAAAGAAAGATAACAATTCCTGTCCTTTACTTGTGGTAAATAAATAAAAAAACCCTAAAGCACATATGTACATATGTCGAAATGACAGAATTTATTTTTCATAAATAAGTGGGACATGGCAACATAACCATGAAACGATGTACATCAAGTCTGACGTAACCCGAGGACTGCCTGTAAACAGGCACAAGAGATCTCATTTGGGTGATGGAAATGTTTTGAAGCAAGGTTACAGTGACAATTATACAACTTGGTAAATTTACTAAAAATCACTGAGTTGTATATCTAAGACAGTAGATTTTGTGGCATATATAAATTATGTCTTGATAAGGTTGCTATGAAAATCATAAACAAAAGTATAAGCAATCCAGGAAGAAATACTGGTCCCTTACCTGATATGAAGCATTTGTGGCAACCCCAACATAATGCTTAGTTCATCTTTATATATATATACAATAAAAGCCTAAGCCACCGAATGACCAATCAACTGGTCGCTATGACATGCACTGACCACTAGGGGGCAGATGCTCAATACAGGAGCTGACTCCTTCTGGTCAGTGCGCTCACACAGCTGACTGACCCTACCCGGTGGCCCACCAGCCCAGGTCAGCTACTCCCTCCCTCAGTAGTCCTGCAGGTCCAATCTCAAGGGTATGGGCGGGGCACCGATAGACCTGTGCTGCCAGCACATTCTTGACAGTGCCTCCACTAGCCTCCTGGAAGTAGGCCTCAGGCACTGCAGCCACTTCCCCTCCCTAAAAGAGGCCATCAGGTGGCTCCTGACAACCAGCACAAATGTCAGCGGGACAGATCGGGATCCTGGGCCAGCTAGGGCATCCCACCAGCTGCTCAGAGGGCCAATCTTGTCCCAGACCTCCACCTACACGCCCCTTGGTTCTGACACCAGACACAGGGCTCACAGCTGGTGAACACTGCTACAACAGCACAAGCCTCTCCCAATGGGGACTGACTGGGCACAATGGGGCTAGGATGAGCAGGAGTTGCAGGCAGGAGCACCAAGCAGTGTTGGACTGCCCGTTTGGGCCTAATCCCTGCAGGCCATCCCAAGGGACCACACCTGTGCACAAATTTGTGCACCAGGCCTCTAATAAAATATAAGAGCCATGTAACTTACAAAAAAAATAGCTTCACTGGTAATGAATTTAGCTCACCAAAATTGATCACGATGAACTAACACAGTGCTGGGAACCAGGAACAGGGAACCCAAACCTAGCATTGTCACTGGAGATAAAATGTAAAAAGAGCTATGCGACCTTGATGGCTCTGAATGGTCAGAGGCATTAACTCATTGTCTAGTTGAGATAGTGGTGCTTGAGGCAACTTTAATTTGTTAATCATATGTAAATGTAAGTTGATTTTCTGTTGTTGGAACTTCCCCCTTAAGAGATGTCTTTGTTTCAGAATCTCAATAAAAGGAATGGTAAAAGGCCAGAGAGCGGTTAGTCTTCCCACTAGAGGTAGACTTCCCGCCTGGCCCCCATTTTCCCAAATTAACTCTTTTCCAGTCTCTCTCTTCAATTTAGTGTGCAGCCTTCTCCAGAAACTGGACCCTGAGTGGGCCCTGAACCACGCGGGTCGTGTTAAGGGATCCCACAACACAGAAATACCTATTTGGTGCACCATGTATGAAGGCACTGATTACCTCTGCATATCGGACAGATGAGTACACTAGTTTAATGCCTTCTGGAGAACCACCACAAACAGGAAATGAAGCATACCCACAACATCTCCTAAGGATCTGTTAGAAATATACCTACACCTTGCAACCCATATTAAGTAAATGATCACAGACAGGTTGTAAAATATAGTTAAGTAGCATTCTTATAATGGGTTATTAAATTAGGGTACATACATATGAAGATGTAGAAGCCAATTATTGACATGAAAAGAAGCCCTCTGGGACAGATTACATATATATCAATATCTAAGCACGTACCTATAATGTTCTTATTGCTTTTACTAGTGGGTTTCTCTCTACTTCATGTAGTTAATACACTTCTAAAATATTAATAATGCAGGCTCCATAAATAGCAAAGAACACTCAATTTCATAACCATAGGTACATTAAATTTTGTTTTATTACAAATAGTATTTCCTAAGTGTTCTATTAAGGATTATTTTTCCACTAAGTTATGTCTAAACATGTTCCTTTGTTTTATCAGTAGTAAGATAAAGTAGTCCTTTATCATATCAATTCTAATACTCTTACTTGAAATTTCAATCTTTAACAATATGGGGAACATAAAAATTTCATACCTGCCAGCACACACTTTATTGCTTGCATTGGCAATTCCAACAACTTCAGAGTTATGGGGCACAGTCTTTTCAAATTCAGAATTTCAAAGTTTCCGTAATCTACATATCCGACGAGCACAGAGTCTTCAGAGGCGTAAGCCAAGACGGAGGCACGGTACCACTGGTCATCCTCTGCAAAAAGAAGAGTCAGTCTCAAGTGATTTTCCAACATGGACGGAAAGAAAAACTTTTCCTCACACACTTAGAAATTGTCATTTGTAAATTTTGATATCAAACTTTACTGAACAATGAATGCTTATTCAACATTGCTATCTTTGCCTTCGACTCTTCATATCACCCTTTTCCTTACCTTACTAGACTACATGCAGTTTGCTTTCATGACTTATGTCCATCCATGCCTTGTCTCCCCAGCAGACAGTTAGCTCATTAGGACAAAGAACATACATGTTGGCCATGTGGATGCACAAGGTCTTGACCAATACATGGACCACTGGCAAAGGGCATCAAGCAGGCTAATTTTAGAATGCCTGGCAGTGTGAGTCAACCAGACTCTACCAGCCAAACCACCATTTTCCTGGAGGCCTACTTGGACCTCCCGCTCTGTGAGGTCACTGGCTCTCCCTTCACGGAAGAATTATGAGATGCAGTTATCAAAGACCAGACCTGTGTAGCTAGAGGCTGAGCTATGACAGCTCTGCACTCCCAGACCCTCTTGCTTTTCCAAAGAAAACTGGAGAATTCATGATCCTGGGAGGTTCCACATTGGCATTCAGATGTAAACAGAATGATCTGCACCAGTCTCCCAAAACTGCAAAACTGATAAAACAATCAAAACCTCCTTAATCCACCCCTCCCCCACATTCCTGGGCCTTCTTTCTTTAAGCATTTGGATTTAGTTTAACTGGACATATCTGGTGTACCTTAGTACTCAAAATTTCAAAGAGAGCCATCAAACTCAACAACACTCTCTTTCCTTACCCGAGAACTGAGCACAGCAGATGTCACCAATGGTTGGGTAAAAATCTGAGCGTGGAGACACTTGACCACAGTACTCATTAAGGGATGCCTGCAATTCAGCGAGCTTATCTGTAAATATAAATCACATCTTAAGCAAAAGAAATACAACTCTACACATTATCTTCATTTTTCCCCCGCTGAATCTCTTGACGTATGTTATCTTGAGAGCCAAATTGAGAAAGGTGACTTACGTCCACTTTGTAGTTTTTGACAAAAAAAGTCTTCTGGAGTCTGAATGTGGGAAACCACACCACAGAACTCATCGCCTACATTCAAAGTTAACACTTTTGGGATTAAGTCTCTTCTGTCTACAACAATTTTGTTTTCAGCTGTCATTTTCCCAACATCTTCAGGCTCACCTGATCAGAAAACAGAAAAGTAAGTCTTTTTAGTTTCACTGATTAAAATTTTCAGGTTTTCAGGCCCAATCATGCTTTCCATACCTCTAGACCTTAATACTTTAGAAATAATGTATTTTTAACGCTGGGGGGTGAAGGCATGTACGGGAGTGGGGTGGAGGGGCAATGGTAAGATATGTGCACATATAATACCTTAATAAAAATTTTTTAAAAAGAAATAATGTATTACTAAATAAAAACTATCATATTTCATGTATAAAGTTTATGGAAGGACTAGCATTGCCATGAATCTGACACTGTGACATTTGTGCTTTTATGTTTAGTACAAGTCACTATACTGTTCATTATTAATGTGTATACTCACTTTGAACTGCACTTTGCTTCTTAGAATTTTGTCCCTTAGGTATCAAGCCATATCTCATTTCTACAAGCACATCATCTAAGAGTTTTCCTAAGTGATTAACAAAACAGATCTATAGTGAGCTATTTACTAAATATTAAGGCAAAGCATAAATAGAAAACAAATGAGTCACAATTACATGGTTTAGAGATTATGGCTATTAATACACATTGGCATATAGCTATTAATACACATTGGCATCCAATGCATGCTGAGCCTCTAAAAGTAGAGGCGCAATACTGTGGAAACTGAGAGGCAATTATAAGCACACTGCAGGAAGTCATTTTTCAAACAGATAGAAAACCAGAATGAAAGAACAGGATTCCAAAGTGATTTTTCATTATTTCCATAATCTGAACACTATGTACCTACAGTCTCAATACTAACAAAATACAGTTTTGTGGAGGCTGTTCAAAGAAAAAGCAACGATGATAAAAATGAATGCATTTGTAAGAGTAATTTCTGAGTTTCTCCATGAAGGAGAACTCGGAAGTAGATATTATCATGGCCATATGGAAAGGACAGTATCGTCACCCCCAGACTGTCTACATCTAGTCTTTAATCCACTCAGTTCTACGGATCCGTGCCATGTCTCTGACACATGGCCAACTGCAAGAGCAGGGTCAAGGCCAAGTCTTCATCCACATCTAAATGTCCCCAGAGCAGAGCGTCCTTGGCCTCACTTTGTGTTTCTTTCTTCTCTGAGTATCTGGTGGAGACTAAACAACGTATTAAACACCTCATTTACAAAGAAAGATTCGGTCTTACCTGAACTTAGTAGCCTAACATCCACAGCAAAGGAAACGACTTCCTCTTCCAAGATGTTGACAATCTTTACAGAGCAGAACTGCTCCATTAACAGTGATTTAATAGTTTTGATACAATCATTGCTCCAATTCCCCTCTGCTGGGATAACATCAGCCACAAAGCACTTTATGGCCTGAAAGATTTTGTGCAAGTTACTAAAAAAAAAATCAGTATTTGAAAATGACTTTCTCTAGTTAATTATGTGAAAGTTTAAAAAGATGTGCTTTCATGCATAAAATGTTTCAAAAATCTTTGAGTACTAGCCATATAAACAATTTTATGTGTAATTATTTTTTTCTTTGGGTACCCTATTCACAGTGCTTTGACTTTTGGGACTTGAAGCTTGAGAAGTTGAGGAAAGAATAATTATCCCTCAATTATGTATCAATTCAAATCACTTTCAAATAGTGTAATAAATATAAAAATGATTATTTTTAAAGAGCAGATTCATAAGAAATGACTAAAAATGCTAACAGTTTTTCACCCAAGGTAGTACTTAGCCAAGAAAACCAATGAATGATTACCAAGGTAGAAAAAGATGTGCCAGCAGGTACTCACGGCAGAACAGAACAAGCAAATAGTGTATCTACCAAAACTTAAAAACAGCTCCTTTGGGCCACTCTTAGGAATTTAGAAAGCAAAAGAGACTCACACAAGGAGGAAACAAGTCAATGTTTCTGTTTAGTTGCTGAATTCTGTTTACTGGAATTATTTCTTCATTTCCATAATCAATATATAAGACTTGTGCCTTCTTCTGTAGCAGATCAACGTCTTGTATTATTACTCTATTCCAGGTCTAAAATGAAATAAAATAGTACTCTACTTCAAAAAAGCATTTCGTGAATTTTTTTAATGTATTGTTGCCAGTATTACAGAAATCCCCCATTTCCCCCCTCCTTTGCCACCCTCCACACCCCACCCAGGTCTTCCCCATACTATTGTCTCTGTCCATAGGCTATTCCTATATGCATATACCGGAGGCTCGGTGCATGGAATTTGTGCACAGGTAGGGTCCCTAGGCTAGCTGGCAATCAGGGCTGACTAGGGCCTTCAGGCTGCCAGCTGAGGCCTTCCTTCCCAGGCTGCCAGCTGCCAGTTGGGACCTTCCTTTGTTCTGCACTGTCCCCTGGTGATCAGTGCATGTCATAGCAAGCAATCAAACTCCTGGTCTCCCAGTCGAATTCCAGAGGGGACACTGCATATTAGCCATGTATATCTCTCCCCCCACCCCTTGGTTAACCTCTTTCTGTCTCCTCCATTTCCCTCCCCTATGAGATCTGTCAGTCTGTTCCATGCATCAATGTCTCTGGACCTATTCTGTTCATCAGTTTATTTTGTTCTTTAGATTCTACATATAAGTGAGATCATGTGATATTTTGTCTTTCCCTAGTTGGCTTATTTCGCTTGGCATAAAAAATCTCCAGGTCCATCAATGCTGTCATAAAGAACAGAAACTTCTTTTTACAGCCATATAGAATTCCATGGTGTAAATGTGCCACGGCTTTTTTTATGCACTCATCTACTGATGATCACTTGGGCTACTTCCAGATCTTAGCTATTCTGTCCCATATAATAAAAGCCTAATATGCAAATCGACTGAACGGCAGAATGACCAGTGGAAAGACTGGTCACTATGACATACACTGACCACTAGAGGGCAGACACTCAATGCAGGAGCTGTCCCCAGTTCGCAGGCCCTGACAGCAGGGCCAGTGAGCAGGCAGCCCCAGGCCAGCCAAGGCAGGTGCCAGCAGGGGCTACCCAATTGCCCAGCCTGTCACCCCACAGATCAGCCCTGATCATCGGCCAGGCCTAGGACCCTACAACATGCACAAATTAATTGCACCAGGCCTCTAGTTGTAAATAATGCTGCTATGAACATGGGGGTGCATATATTCTTTCTGAATGGTGGTTTGGGGTTCTTAGGATATATCCCCAGAAGTTGGATTGCTGGGTCACATGGCAGTTCCGTATTTAATTTTTTGAGGAAACACCATACAATTTTCCATAATGGCTGCACCAGTCTTCATTCCTACCAGCAATATGCCAGGGTTCCCTTTTCTCCACATCCTCACCAGCATCTGTTTGTTAATATATTGATGGTATGGCAGGCATGAGGTAACACCTTATTGTAGTTTTAATTTGCATCTCTCTGATTAATAGTGACATTGAGCATATGTCCATATGTCTACTGGCCATCTGTATGTCCTATTTGGAAAAATGTCTAGTAGCATTTCACAATCTTACGTTGAAAATTCTCACTCTATAGAACATGCAGTGGAAAGGCTAACTGTTCTATTTCAAGGCACTTAATTAACAAGTTAACATAATTTTCTAGTAATCTTGCCCAAAATTGTTTAATTAGGCCACTGTGCTATGTACAAATATTGTCAAGCCATTCTAGCCCGGTCAACTCTATGACACCCTGGTGCCTCAGCTACACAAATAAACACCAGCTCTCCGACTTGCAGTCAGCCGGGAAACAGCACCTGAGGAGCCCATACAGAGCTGGACAGGCCTAGCACAGGGAGCAAGTAACCGAACAGAGCCTGGAAGACTGACGGAGGAAGCAAAACCGAAGTTGGAGCAGTCTCGCCTTTAAGCCACCTAATGCATCATTAAAAGCTCTGCTATCAAGTTGATACAACCAAAGTAAATTAAAACATTTTATTAAATAATTCACTTCAAGAGAGGTTACCTGGTCAACAGTGTACTTGGCAACACAAACTTCCCCTTTAACGGGAATGTAATCCTCCTCATGCACTGTATTTGCATACGCCTCCTTTAGGCTAGCAGAAAGTTGGTTCATGTATCCTAAAACTTCTGCAGAATATAACTGCACATAAAAGTCACTTGGGTCTTTGAATTCAGTAACTGTACCCTTCCAAAGACAGAAAAGATGTAAAAATTCACTGGAACACAAGCCAATGTGCATTTCTTAAAGCTTTTATTAAGCTACAATAAGCGTCACAGATAGTTCTTTCAATCTATCAATTTCATCAGATTAAATGTTGTAGCTACCATGAATTCAAAATAGAAAATAAGAAAATAGAATCCATAGTTCTTTGGATTTCTGTCCACAAAGATTAAACAACAAATACCTTGATTTCCATGGTTTTCCTGAGTTGTAGACTTCTCAAATCAGAAAACATTATTTTTTCAGCACAAATGGCTATTTCTTTAGTAACTTCAAATGGACAGTCACTCTGGTTTGAAAAAAAAGCACATAAGTGCGTTACATACAAGAACATATTTCAATGATACTGCGACTACTAGTTGCTGGAATCAAGGTCAACATAGCTGACGAGGCTAGAGAACATCTGCGTGCAAGGACTACAAAGAAGGGACTCCCGTACTAGTCCAAGTAGTCTGACACAGACACAGCCATCACAAGCCCTTTTTGGAAAACGGCTGGGCATAAACAATTCTCAGTGAGCACCAACAGTCACCTCGTCAACCCCTAGGGGGTGCAGATTTACTCAGCAGGAGGCTTCTGTTCTTAAAGAAACACCAGTGAAATGCAGAAATGAGTCTACATCATACCTCATTTTTCACTTCCATGTTCTTTACTTCATAAGTTGATTTATTGTCTTCAAGTTTGTGGAAACTAAAATAAAGCAATTAATGTTAATACTTATATTACAGAGCTAAGAGTAAGGACCACAATTATGTTAAATTCTCAATCAATGAAACCCCAAAAGAGCAAACAGTTTCTCCCAGACAGAATCCAGAACAGTAACAACTGCCTAGGCAATGGCTACGCTGTGCACAGGAGTGCTTCTTCCCAAAGCCACCTCTGAAAGGACGATAGCCACAATCTGCAAACCTCAGTGTTCCTACCTGTGAAATGGACAGCATCCCTACGGCAAACAGTTTTGAGAATGAAATCAGGTTAAATATATGAAACTGGCCCTAACTGGTTTGGCTCAGTGGATAGAGCAAAAGCCTGAGGACTGGAGGGTCCCAGGTTCAATTCCGGTCAAGGGCATGTACCTTGGTTGTGGGCACATCCCCAGTAGGGGGTGTGCAGTAGGCAGCTGATGGGTGTTTCTCTCTCACTGATGTTTCTAGCTCTCTGTCCCTCTCCCTTCCTCTCTGTAAAAAAAAAAAAAAAAAAAAAAAATCAATAAAATATATATTTTTTAAAATATGAGAAACTGTTTTTTGTAAACTCGTTAAATAGCACACAAGATTTGTATATTTCAAAATTGCAATCCAAGAAGCACTGTGAAAGTTCCACCTTATTAGAATTTAGTAAAGGACACATAATTAAAAGAGCTTTCTAAGCTCTAATCATTTAAAAAAACAAAAACAAAGTCACTTAAGGTTTTAAATCTTAATGTGTCCAACCTAATAAAAATATATTCATGGAAACTCGTAAGTTTATAAAGCTGTTCACTTCAGATTTGCACACTTTATGTTACACCTCAATAAATAAGAATAAAGTAACAGCATCTACAATTATGGGCTGCCTATCTGATTTGATGCTTATTATATCAGGAAAAAATGTTGAATGAAATATTCTCTAATGAATAGGAACACACACTTACTTTTGCTGCACAGGCTTGCACACAATGCTGTGTGCGGACCAGTCTCTTCTCTGGCATGCTATGGAGCAATAGTATGTCTGCTTGCACTGTGAACACCTCTGCGACCCTACAGAAAACAGCCAAACATTTCATTCCAAATACGTGTTGCCCAGGGCAAGACAATTTCAAAGACCAGACATATCAAGTACCATTGTATCAATCATATCAAGATTATCTGAAGAGGCAGGCTTATGATGTCTATAATTAGGTGTCAAGATTAAACTTTTCAAGCTCTCTCAAAATGCAGAGAAAGGAGGACAGACTGGAAACATGACTGACTTCTCTAAAGAAGAGCCCAGAACACATTATAAAAGAAACCAAAGGAAACAGAAAAACTGTGGCAATTAACGTAACTTGTGCAAGCAGACTGACATGGCTTACTTTGTGCCATTAAAAATACGATGTTGTTCAGTGGTTAGAATGTCAGCTGCACACTCAAGGGTCCTGGTCAAGGGCAAGTACCTGAGCTGCAGGCTCAATCTCCGGGCCGGGTCAGGGCGTGTGCAGGAGACAATTGATGTCTCTCTCTCTCTCCTCTTTCTCTCCCTTCTACTCTCTAAATATCAATGGGGAAAAAAAATCCTCTGGTGAAGATTAAAAACTCAAAAATACAAAACAGCCATGGCTAGTTAGCTCAGTTAGAGCATGGTCTCAATACACCAAGGTTGCAGGTTCAATCCCCAGTAGGGGTCTTATAAGAAGCAACTGGTTAAGTTATTTCCTCCCTCCCTCCTGTCTTCCTTCCCTCTTCCCCTCTCTCTAAAATCAAAAAGCATGTTCTTGGATGAGGATTAAAAAGGAAATCCTATCAGTATCCAGGCAGAAAAAAACATGTTACCGAAAAACAACAAAACCAAGCTGGCTTCAAATGCCTCCACTCTAAAAGAAAGAGAGGCCTGATTGGTGTGGTTCCTTGGTTCAAACATCGACCTAGAACCAGAAGGTCATGGTTCAATTCCTGGTCAGGAACATGCCCGAGTTGTTGGCTCAATCCCCAGGGTGGGGCATGCAGGAGGCAGCCAATCAATGATTCTCTCTCATCACTGCTGTTTCTCTCTCTCTCTCCCTCTCTGAAATATATATATGAAAAATGTCCCAAGACCACTGATTATGAGAGAAATGCAAATTAAAACCACAATGAGATATCACTACACACAACCACAAGAAAGGCTAAAATTAAAAAAGATTGAAAATCCCTAATGTAGACAAAGCTAAAGGAATCAGAACTTGTTACCAATGGACATGTAAAATGAGACAGCTACTTTGGCTGTTTCCTATAAAGTTGAACATACACCTACCCTTTTGACTAAGCAATTCTCCTCCCAGGTATGTACCCAAGAGAAATGAAACATATGTCCACACAAAGACATGTGCAAAAATATGCAGAGAGCTTTATACATAACAAAAACTGGATACAGAAAAATGTTGCAACAAAAGAACAGATAAACAAACTGGTATAATCATACAATGACATACTACTCAGCGACAAACAAAAATAATTAATGTGCATGCAACAACATGGATGAGTCTCAAAAATATAATTCTAAATGAAAAAAAGTTTTATACAAAAGCTCCCATACTGTATGGTTCCATTTATATGAAATTCTGTAGATTTCATTTAGTATATGAAATTCTGGCAAAATTAATTTATTTTAAAAAACAATGGTTGCCTCTAGGTCGGAAGTACAGTGCCTGGGAAGTGGCATGAGGAAACTTTCTGAGAAGAAGGAAATACTCTCTATCTTGATGGGGTGCGAGTTTGTGTGTTTCAATGCATGAAAGTTTTATCTAAAAAAAAAAAAAAATATATATATATATATATATATATATATATATATATATATATATATATATATAAAAATAACATAAGAAGCAATAAGAACAGGAAAGTATGGATGAACAAACGATTGTATGTTGATGGCTGGCAAAGGTGAAAGATGGGTATATGCTGCATATATATTACTCCACTTACATTTAATATATTATAAATTTTCTATACTCAAGATATTTTTCAAACATATAAAGGAATAATCTAACACAACTGAGACAACATGCTTACCAAACAGGCCACAGCGATGGCAAGTAGTTGATCGAAGAGGCGGTCCTAAGGATTTGAAGAGTGCTGGATTATTTATGGACAAGGAATTCTCAACCAACTTGTGTATATTTTTTGGTTTTGCAGGAGACACATTATTGCTAGGTTTCTATTTTAAAAAAAGAGAATAGCAATATTAAAACTTGGCAATAACATTGAAAAACTACGAGCTTTGAATTCCCTCTTCTGGGAAGATAAAGATTTACATTTCCCTATTTTTCCCACTAAGTAAAACTAAAACTCCTGGACTTACATGTAAAACAAATATACGCCTAACTCTGAAAGAAGGCAGCAGACAAGTTAGGAACTCTGGGACTCACAGAAGGAATGGCGATGGTTCTCTGAGTTCTTTTTCCTCATCTATCTATCCCAGGTAGGGTGCTGGAGAAGCCAGCAATCCAAAAACATCAAAAGATGCAGACAATAAAAGCCCCAACCAAAAGCTTGCTCTCTCTAGGAAAGGGGTAGCCCAGCAAGACAAAAAAAAAAAACCCTTTTATTAATAACTACTCTCCTCTAGACAAACAATTCAGATAAAACTGTGGCCCCTACTTCCACCAGCAAGAGTAGCGTGGGGAGCCGAGACTTCCACTTTCACCAGGCTACAGTGAGGTAGCAGCCCTCCCACCAGGTGGCATCAAAGATGGCCAACCAAGTAGGAAGCCAACACTTCATCCCTGCAGGGGTTCCCTGTGGAGACCACAGGGGAGCCTGGACTTCCATCTGGCAGTAAGAAATGTCATCCCAGCCCTAGTCAGTTTGGCTCAGTGGATAGAGCATCGGCCTGCAAACTGAAGGATTCGATTCCCATCAAGGGCACATGCCCAGGTTGCAGGCTCAATCCTCAGTGTGGGGCATGCAGAAGGCAGGGGGTCAATGATTCTCTCTCATCATTGATGTTTCTATCTCTCCCTCCCTCTTCCTTCCTCTCCAAAATCAATAAAAAATATTTAAAAAATTAAAAAAAAAAACAAGTCACCCAAACCCCTCACCTTCCAACTCACCACCATTGGGGTGGTGTTAGAGGAGACTCAGTGGACAGTTAGGACCTTTTGCCACCATTCAACAATAACGAATGTCTCCAAATCTTCTCACCTCCAAATCTCCCTCTGGCTTGTCCATTCTCTGCCACCTTACCCCACCCTCACCCAGCAGCAAGGTGTCAACAGAGACTGAGCGGGGAGCCTGAACAACTACTTCCACCTGGCAACACCCCCCTTCTCCTGGGAGCAGTGTCAGAGGAAGTTGGCTAAAACAGAAAAATTAAATAACATAGAGTTTCATAACATAGTACCCAAAATGCCTCAGTTTCAACAGAAGCAAACTGTCATTCTAAAAACCAGGAAAATAACAAGGAAAAATGAAAAGATGTCAACTCAAGAGGACAGATGTTAAGTTTATCTGCCAAAGAATTTAAAGCAGCCATCAATACTTCAACAAGCAATTATGAACATGCTTGAAATGAAGGAAAAAAGAGTCTTAGAAAAGAAATAAGAAAGAACCAAATGAAAGTTTTGGAACTGGAAATTACAGTAACAAAAATTAAAAACACAATGGGTGGCTCAACAGCAGAAAGGAGGGGGCAGAGGAGAGAGACGGTGAACATAAAGATCAAAACTATAGGCCTTACCTAATCTGAACAAGAGAGAGAAGAGTGAGCAGAAAATATAAATAAGCACAGCCTCAGGGACCTCTGGGACTACAACAAGAGTTATAACACTCATGTATTTGAAGAGTCTCAGAAGGGAAAGGAGAAAGAGGCAGGGCTAAAGAAGTACTCAAGTAAATAATGACCAAAATTTGTCCAAAGAGATAGGACTACAAATTTAAGAAGCTGAGCAAACCTCAAAGAGAATAAACTCAAAGAACTACACACCAAGACACACTTTAGTCAAATTTCTTAAAGCTAAAGATAACAAAAACGCTTAATAGCAGAGAAAAAGAAATGATATCTTATACAGAGGAGAAAAACAATTAAAAGGAGAACAGATTTTTCATGGAGGCAGAACAAAGTGGCATGATATTTTTTAAGGGCTGAAAGAAAAGAACTGTTAACTAAGAAATTTAACCAAGAAAAATCTCTTTCAGAAAATGAAGAGGAAGTCTCAAATAAAACTAAGAGAATTTGTCACCAGACCTATCCTAAAGGAATGCTTAAATTACTGGCTATCTGGGTTAAGGAAAGGATAGGGCAGGAGGGAAGTGGGTATGGCCAAAGCACATAAGGGCTCCTGTATGGATGGAAGTATTCTGTATCTTGAGTATGAAGGTCTGTGATATTATACTACAGCTCTGCAGCCTGTTCCCACAGGGAGAAACTAGGTAAAGGCTACACAGGATTTCCATTGTTTCTTACAATTGTATGTCAATCTACAATTACCTAAAAAGAAAAAGTTGCATTTTTTTTAAGTACTACATTAAAGAAAAGGAAGCTTGACCTTAAAAAATACCCAAATATTGAATAATTATTTATTATTGCAATACAAAAACACGTTTAGACTTTTACCCAAACAAAAACACCAAAAAGGAAAACAACCCAGAACTTACACTATTTGCTTCTTTGGGTGGTGAATTATTTCCAACATTTAATGGAGACACTGAGTTTCCTTGGGAGAAAAACATAAAGCCTAATAAAAGCCAAATATTAATTTCTTGCTCAGAATGTAAAATTAAGTAATGTTCAAATAATAAAGCTATACCATAACAGTCTTAAAGCTACACTATACATAAGCAACATTCTACTTCTCTGAAATTTCATACTCAATATGCTATAGAAGTTAGGAGGATAATTCCCATTTCAACATACAAAATACTAAAACGTCTGTGAACGAAGGTCAAGATTTATTAATAATCCATCCTGTTTCTTAAGAAATGTCATTTATGTCTTTTTTTGGCCTTAACTCCAAAGTGGATGGCAATGAAAAACTCAATACCACTAGCCCAGGTTGGTGCCCTGCCTAATACTGAGCTAATAAAATGCCCACCTTGTTTTTGTACATCAGTGTAAAGTCGGCACAACTAAGAAGGCAGATAATGTTTAACATTATTAGAGAAATAGTTCTGATCTGTTGGGGAACACCAGAGGCCCAAGGGCCATGGAGAATTACATCACCAGAATGCTAGAAGGTCACATTTCAGGTTCAAAGAGGCTAAATTCCACCTGGGTCTAGCTTCCTTAAACAGTCGGTTTTTAGAATGAAGACTAAAGGAATTATTTTTTTTTTTTAAGTGAAACAATTTAATATCTTAACTATATCTTTGTGAGCTCTTACATTCATAATGTCAGCACAGAACTTCAGGCATGTAAAATATGGTCCATCTTTAGAACTCCTATAAAAAGCCCTAAGGTTTCCTTCCTTTCTACATCCCTAGTAATATATAGCTTTCTTTGGGGGGAAAAGCTCATCTGTATTCATTCTCTCCCCCAGGAATCTTTTGTGTGATTCATCTTGTTTTCCCTTCTACATTAATATTTAAATGCAAATATTGTATGGTAGCCATTTGGCTGTTGTGTTAACAGACACACTTGTGAAAAGTCAAGGAAACCATCAAAATAAGTAGTATTAAACCTGTAATTTTCACTCACTCACCCGTTGGCAATGTCTTCCTGCTTCCTTTGGATCCAACCACATCTCCATTGATGCTGTTAGGGTTTGAAGACGATGAATTATCTTCCTGACTAGCCAAATACTGTTTGGTTTGCTCACAAAGCAAAAAATTGTTATTTTTATTTCTGCTCTCTGGGCTTTTCAACCTGAAATTTGGGTGATTGGGCTGTCCTCCAGGACTTCTTAAAGAACCATGTGATGGAAGCTTGCTTTCATTTTTCTCAAAATTGAACGGCTCTGTCATTTTATAAGTAGATGCCTCCAAATTATTTCTTGACATCCCATTAAGCGGTAAGTTAACATTCACATAAGTCTAAGGGAAGAAATGCAGTTAAAAGGTAACTTTAATTACAAACCTCGGGTAATTTTTTATGTAACAGACAGTTCTCATAAATAATTCCAAATCAGATGTCACCACGATATTGGCCCGGCTTGTTACAGGTACAAGAAAAGAACAGCTCCATCAGTGAGGACACACTGCAAGAGGACCGGGACTAACTTAAGACAAGGAAAGAGTCCTCTCGGAATTCCAGACAGCCCTTACTTTAAAAAGCTTCAGAGCCAAGCAGCCTTGAGCCTTGGGGAAGGTGGGGGGTGGGGGGGGAGGGCAGGAGGGTTTGTGGTCCATGACAGCGTGGCTCCCAGCGCCCAACAGCAGGACAGGACCCTGCAAGGGGCGCAAAGCCTCTGCTGGCCCCTGCCCCTCCCCCCCTCAGGGTCGGACCTCAGGACCTGGGTCCAAGATCTGCTTCCAGGGCTGCGGTCATCACACTCCCTGGCTCGGTAGCTAGTCCCAATCCCCAACCCCTGGCCCTTCTGGTCCCCCAGTCTCCGCCCTATGCTGCCTGACTCCTCCCCCAGTCCTGCTGGAGCATCTGAGCTTGTTGCCCACAACACAGGATTGTAAGAGCCAGAGACCAGCCAAACAGATGTTTCAGGGAAGTATTCTTTTTTTCATTAATAACTGGACTTATCTATGGGTGGAATATCTATACAGTTATGGCCAGATCTACTTTTTCGCCTTTGGTGACATCTCCTCCAGGGCCCATTTATGCCCCGGAACCTCTCAAGTGGTTACCAGTTAAAAACTCAAGATAGGAAAGGAGGGGAAAGAAAAATTGAGAGGCATGCTAAAAGTAATTGATTGAGGGATTTCATGATTGAACCTTACTACTGCACCTGCTTTTGTACCCTGTGAAATAAGCTAAATTTTCTCACCCAAAATATGAGCTAAAAACCTTCTATGCTCTTAGGGCTCATCTGTGCTTAGATTTTGTTGTCTGTATTTCACTTCTCATTTGGACTTTGATTTATACATATTTTAGACCTCTGCATAATTTTTCTCTGAAATGGAGAACAGCAAATACAAATATGTAAAGTTTCTTTCAGCTGCATCAAAATACTAAATATATGTCTTACAAGTGGTAGTATGAGCTATCAAAGTTTTATAATTCATTATTAGTTAAGCTGTTTTAATTTTTTAATTAAAACTCATAGTGCAAAAAAAAAAAAAAAGGTGCTGTTGGAAACAAACCTTACAACTTAGTGGGGAAATACAATAGAGGCTATTGTTTAAATCAGGTCACCACCTACCTTTCTAGCCTCTCAGAATCCCTACCCTCTCATACTTGATGCTACGCTATGCCTTTGAATACGCTGAACCTACTACCCAGAATACCTTGCTCTCATCTGCCTGGCAAATGCTGTCCTTCCTAGTCATCCTTCACAATTTTCCTCAGTTGACCCTATTTTTTTGCATTTCTCCCAAATCCTCTAGCTTGATAATCTCTAACTAAAATAAATTCCATAAATTTCAATTCCCATCTACTGCTTTTAAGCACTTATCTGTGTGCACCTGTCTCTGAATATGAGGTACACACATTGCTGCAACGTGCAGCTGAGAAACCTCTACCCAGAAACTGTGCTGGTTTGTTATTATTCTCTTAATCTTAAAAGCACTCAGTGTCCTGCCCGGGGGACATCATAAAAGTAGACAAACAACTCTTTTTGAAATAGTGAACTATAGCTTTGTCTGAAGAGCACAGGCAGAATTTTTGCCCATCTTCCCAAAATTGCTCAGGAAAACAAATAAACAAACAAAAAACAAGAGAGGTGAAACTAGCATGAGGAACACCTCAATGTTGTTAACATTGCTGTGAATAGAAGAGAGAAAGAAATAGCAGAAAAATCCTTCCTCTTGGTGTCCTCAAACTTTCATCTTCTTTCTTGCTTGAAATCAGATGTAGCTTATTCCAATAACAATCCAGAAAATAATGAAATAATAATAATAATAATAATAATAATAATAATAATACTAAAGAGATGCACAGGCACACTCAGTGGGGAACTCACAGGGGACCAGATCCAGGGAGGATCCCTAATAGAAGGCCTGGAAAGGGGCAGGTCTAATGAGAGACCCTGCAGCTGCCAGGAGAAGGTACCTGTAGCAATAGCACATCTACATTGGAGGACCAGATTGAGAACTACAATGCTGGATGCAGTCAGAAAAGAGAGATATCGTGAAATTACAAAAGGAAAATAACCTCCAGGGGAAACTGTGTGAGGATTCAAATGCTGGGTAACTCTAGACTCTGTACAAGAAATATAAGGAACGTGTATTAAAATATCAGGGTAGCTACCAGATTAAAAACAGAATGCATAACTTTAAAACTAGAGGGAAAAACTCTCAATCCAATAGGAAGGAAAAAAAAAAATCAAGCATGGTAAAGAGATGCAATATGGCTCCAGCAGCAAAGGTGGCTGGGAAATGTTGGACTATCTGGTTAACCCTCTGGCTGGTTAATTCTCTACAGCCTCAGGCTTGGCTGACTACACAGAAAACCTGGACTGTCACGCCCCCAGCAAGGAGGTAACTGCCTGACCTTATCTGTTACCTTAGGAATGCATTGTTCTTTCTGTGATCTATGTGACTACCCACCAGTGCTTTTACCAGTTACCTCCTACAAAAAGAGACCCTGGCCTGGAGGGGTGTGGATTCTTTTCCCACGGCTGCCACTGGCAACAGCTGCTTTGCAGGGCTATGTGTTCTCCTGGTAAGGCTCTTTGGATTTGGGTAAGGCTACATGTCAGTTCTTCGGAATTGATCCCCAACATTCATGTGTGACACTCATTCTTCGAAGTCCAAAAATTAGTTAATATACTTGAGTTTAGGGACAGTAACGACAACAGAATGGGTGTTCGACCCACTGAAAAGTTTCAGCAGCAAATAAGGACTTAGGCTTAAAAGCTCCACGTGTTGTGAAAAATTTAGGTAGAAGGACACCTCACTTGCCTCTTCCTAGACCTGTTCTAGAACTGGAAGCTTCTTACCGTCTTTCATTTCTAGGACACCCAACGGTATGGCATTCCTCTTTAAAAGATGGCTCTTTCCCACTGACTGGCTCCTCTGGCAGTCCTGGGACCACAACCCTCCTGTGTGAGCCATCATGTCCCCTTTCCTTCCAGTCCTTCACCTGCCGAATCACGAGGACCAAACACAAGACGGTATGTAACGGATTCAGCACAGTGGCTGGTGCTAAGTCCATTAAAGGCAGGTATGACTTCTCCTATTTGACTTGTATGCCGCTCCCACATACAAAGAATTCCCTCCACTCACATGGCACCAGTTTGCTCATTTTCAGATAGAAATAATTTGAAGATTAAAATATTCCTATTCCGCAGAAACCGATTTGGCTCAGTGGGTAGAGCGTTGGCCTGCAGACTGAAGGGTCCCAGGTTCAATTCCGGTCAAGGGCATGTACCTTGGTTTCGGGCACATCCCCAGTAGGGGGTGTGCAGGAGGCAGCTGATCAATGTTTCAAATTCTATCCCTCTACCTTCCTCTCTGGAAAAAAATCAATGAAAGTATATATAAAAATAAAACATTCTTATTCCTTTATTCCCACGGGCGAGGGAGACCTGAGAAAGTGAAAACACGAAGTGGCTTGTCCTCCCTCCCCCCTAACCCCCCACCCTGCGCAGCTGAGATGTTTTAAACATCCAGGTCAGACACCTAGGCTGGACAATTTGGCCTTCAGTGCCCTGGTGGCTCAAGATGGGAACCAGAGCATCTTCCTTCCTGCAGAGGCCAACCGGGCAAGGCTGGTACAGCAGGCGCCGATTGCCGAAAAGCGACTGCACACAGCAGACAGGCTATGGACACTGCGGGCTAACCCAGGCCTAGTCTCACCATTCCTAAACCAATGCTGCGCTGCAGCTTCCTTGCCATAGGAGATTGGGGGGGGGGGGGGGAAGAGGGGGGAGAAAGGGTGTATTTTTATTGTTTGCACTGTGGCTTTGAGTTCACCAAAGGCAATGAATCCACACACCAGTTCCTTTCGGAGAGAAGGGGAAAGGTCCCCTGATGGAATGCGGGCAGAAGGTCCTGTTCTAGAGAGAGTCATGCCCGGGAGCGCTATTTTCCCCAATCTGCTGCAGGGCCCTAACTGGCCCAGGGCTTCAATTCCTAACATCGCTGGCTCCTCCCCTCGCTAGGGGGATCCCACCCACCCTAAACCCTCCCCCCTAGACCTGCCCTCTGCCCAGCTGAGGCACAGGAAGGCCTCCAGCCCCCTTCCATCCTCTCTCCACGCCCCGGGCCCCTTGTAGCTGCTCAACGCCCGACCTCAACGTCCAGGGGGGCCCAACGTCCGGCCCCCAAGGTCCAGGACCCCACGGCCCACAGGCAGGCCCTCTCACTGCCCCCCTGCGCCCGGGGACCCTGACCTGGAAAGAGACAAAAGGGCCGCGGACCCCGACCCTCCTCTGAAGCCTGGCCGTGGTGGCGCCGCCCGTGCCAGAGTCCCACGGCCCAGGCCGGCGAGCTCCTGGCCCTCAGCTCACCTCCAGTGCCCAGCGGGCCGCGCCTGCGCAGTCCGCGCCCACGTGCCCCCCACACGCTCCCTCCGCTGCCCCGGAAGCGGAAGTGGACGTAGGAGCTGCGCTCGGGGAGGCTTGGTTGGGGGCATCCATGCTCCAGGTGGTGCGGAGGCCGTGGGTCCCAGAAAGTTCCCCTGCGGGGACCTTAATCTATACCTCCTCTTCTCGCTTTTTCCAGAAGGCATCCCTGGGCACGTGGAGGGCAAAGTTTGAGCTCAAAGACCCAGACCCTGTCTCTGCCAGAGTCACTTGGGGGACTTGAATCATTGGGAATCTTACAAGATTTTGCAATCTGACCCCTGCCTCTGCCTGGTTTTGGAAAGGAAACACACATGGTTACTTTTTTACCCTCTACCTGGGAGAAGTCATTATATATGCTGGTATTGCCCCCCCCCCCCCAAATAATGTTGTATAAATATGTTTGTATTGATTTCAGAGAGGAAGGCAGAGGGAGAGAGGGAGAGGTGCAAACATCAATGATGAGAGTCGTTGATCAGTGGCCTCATGTGCTCCCCACACTGGGAATCCAGTGGGCAATCCGGGTATGTGCCCTGACTGGTAATCCAACCCTGACCTTCAGGTTCATGGGTTGAAGCTCAAACCCTGAACCACACCAGCTCGGCCAAAATAAAAAAAATTTAAAATATATTTTATTGATTTTTTTACAGAGGAAGAGAGAGGGATAGTTAGAAACATTGATGAGAGGGAAACATTGATCAGCTGCCTCCTGCACACCACCTACTGGGGATGTGCCTGCAACCAAGGTACATGCCCTTGACTGGAATCGAACCTGGGACCCTTCACTCCGCAGGCCGACGCTCTATCCACTGAGCCAAACTGGTTTCGGCTGTACTACGTTTTAACATTTGGCAAGAAATAACACTTAGAACTGCCCAGACCTTGAGACCTCTGTCCTAACAGCTTTGCTTTACAAACACTTGCTTGGACCACTGTCAGAATTAACGGTGCTCACTCAGGAGTTGTGTGTAAGAAGCTCTAAGCCAAAATAGTCTGACTTCCCTGGACAGAATAAGGCTTGCACAATTTCCCACAAGGTTGGTGAGCTGCTCACTTGACTGCTTCAGCCCCCATTAGGCCACTGCATTCCATAATCCTATCCCCGCCCCCCATCCCAACCCGGCACCCCCCAATACACGTTCCATTGCTAATTATTGAGCAGTTCCTGCGTCTCAAAACCGAGGGGACACAGCCAAAACCGGTTTGGCTCAATGGATAGAGCGTTGGCCTTCGGACTGAAAGGTCCCAGGTTCCATTCTGGTCAAGGGCATGTACCTTGGTTGCGGGCACATCCCCAGTGCGGGAGGGGGGGTGGGGTTTGTGCAGGAGGCAGCTGATCGATGTTTCTCTCTCATCGATGTTTCTAACTCTCTATCCCTCTCCCTTCCTCTCTGTAAAAAAATCAATAAAATATATTAACAAAACAAAACAAAACAAAAACAAAAACATGGGACACAGAGGCCGAGAGGGCCAGGTGCTAGACACGGACGCCCTGACAGCCTATTATCAAACAATGGCAGAGGTGCCACGCCGCGGACAGGCACGCGGTGCCATGGAAACCCCAGATCGTCTAGCAGGGACGAGCTGTCCCAATCCGGGCAGGTAAGCTACTCCTGCTGCTGACTCCGCCCATGTCAGGTGCAAGTCCTCTTTCGAAAGCTCTTTTATTGCTGGATTCTCCGGACGAACAGAGGACGGGCCTGAGGATGAGGAGGACGGTGTCCAATGAGCGCGCCCCACGGAAAGAAGCCACCCGCTCGCGTCCCCAGAGGCGTCCCAGGTAGGACGGGACGAGCTCCCGCCGAGCCGGACCGCCCGGGCAGGCGAGGGTGCCGGGGCAGCCCGGCCGGGAGGCAACGCAGCGCCGCGCCGGCCCCGCCCACCGCCGGCACGTTCCATTGGCCCGAGGCGGGGCGCGTCACACCGGACGCCGCGCGCTGATTGGCTCTCCCGGGGAGCCCCGCCCCCTCAGCTGTATCCAAGCCGGCTCTGGCGTCGCCGCCATCTTTGTTGATGTGTCAGCTCCGCGGGGATCTGGGGGGGAAGAAACCGCGGCGGAGAGAGGAGAGAGCGCGGCGTCGGCCCCGACTTGCACCGCCGCCCCCTCGCACCGATCTCCTCGTCTGCCGCCGCCCGCCGCCATGGAGGAGTGGGGCCCGAGGCCGGAGCTGCCGCGGCCTCGCTAGGGGTGCAGACGGAGGCTCGGAGAAGTGGGGTGAGTGCCCGAGGGGTCCCCGAGGGGTCCCCGAGGGGCGCCCGGGCGGACCGGGGAGTCGCGATTGGGGGCTGCGCGGCGAGGCCACCTCCTTGGCGCGCGGTCCTGCGAGCCCCGGGGTGGCGGCTCCGGTGGGATGAGAGGAGGAGGAGGAGGCAGGCGCTGGGGATGGAGGAGTTCTGGTCTCTCTTCCGTCCGTCAGTCCGTCGCTCGGTGCCGGGCTGCCCCGGGGAGGACGCGGCCGCAGGCGGTGTCGGGGCCGGGGCCGGGGCCGCGCCTCCGGAGTCCGGGGCCCGGCGGGGAGCGGGCGGGATTAGGGGCCGACTGCCCGGCCTCCCCGAGCGAGCGGACGGCGGCTCAGCCCCATCTGCGTGCGATCGCTCCCGGACGCGATCGCCGGCTTCTCCTCTCGCCCGTCCGAGTTGAATGTGTGTGTGTTGTGTTGTGCGTTTTATGTTGACTGTTGTGTGTCTACTTTTTATCCGAAACGCTGCCACTGTTGTGGTTTGTAAGAGATGATTGTTTGGGGCTGTGACGAGGAGAGAGCCGGTCTTTTGTTTTTATGTTGCCTTTCTCCCAAAGACATCGAGGCATGTGATGAGTCTTGGCTGGGAAGCGTGGTAGTTCACATTGGTGTGTCTGCCCGATCCTGTAAAAAATGGGGGGGAAAGCACCTTCTTGCAGCTCCTGGACTGGGAATCCTGGGGAACCGTGCAGGGGTGTGTGTGTGTGTGTGTGTGTGTGTGTGTGTGTGGTGATTGCTCAGCTGTTATCAGTTTACTAAGTACAGCTAATATCATGTCTTTATTTTGTTTAGAGGAAAGAGACCTGCCTTTGGAGTAAAAAAAACAACAACAAACAACCACATTTGTATTAGAAACTGCCTCTTTCAGTGGATAAGTCTTCTTACCTATGGGAATCCCTACAGAAAAGTAAAAACACGCCCTCCCGGTCCCAGGCATTTTGGCCGTTTTCTGGGCACCTGTGTCATGTTCCCTTGATGCCCAGCTTTATTTCTTCCAAAGTGATAGATACACTGGGAGTTTTTCTAAGGAAAATGTGCAGTAAGTCATTGGGAACAGTGTTTCAGGAGGAGTGCTGGTTAGTCATTCAAAAAGAAAAAAAAAAGATCCGGTAAATGTTTAGGTATGCCAGTGGGTGTGTAGCTTTCCCAGCTGCTGTCTACACCTAGATATGTGCAGTGTTGATTTGTGCGACAGATTAAAGGTTCTAAGGACGTTGATAGTGAAACTGAACGATCTGCTCGAGTCTCGAGTTTGCGCTCTCCGTACAGCGACTTTTCAATTCTTTATTCATTGTCACTCAAACAGAAAACAGTGATGATTGGCCTGGCTCTTTCCCCCCCCTTCCTTTATGGTCTTTTCATGTTATTTAAAACTCAATGATGGTATGGAGTAATTCACTGATCTTGCAGAATTGAAAGAATGAAAAACCCCTTTTTACATTGTAACCGGCGAGCATGTAGAATTACTGAGGAATCTACCTGGAAATGCCCTGCGTGAGTTCAGATTGCTTTTATTCCCCAGAAAGGCATGGATTGTGTTTAGATTGATTTACTTATAGGACCATGTCTTAATTCAGAATATCTGATGTGAACTTGAAGATTTCTTTAAGCAGTGTCATGGGTACTTCGGAGTCTTATTTGTTGCTAACGCAAAAGGGGTGATATGACACAGTGACTGCCCTATAACCTTTTATTCCTTTACCCATAAACTCAAGAGTTGCTCTTTGATGCTATACAGTGACAGTACAGCTGATGATGATTGCTTAATATATTTCACTTAAAGACATCTTACAGCTACATCCTGACATCGTGGAGTGAAGGTAGAATAGGGCAGCAGTATTCTCATTCTTTAGGGAGAAATGACAGGACAAAGCAGCCTTACTTACCAACTTAGAAAAATCATCTTTGCCTTTGAAGAAATGACTAGGAATCTGCACTAATTCATGGAACTGTTACATGTTAAAGAATCCTTAACCTGGCCTGTGTTTCTCAGTGGTTAGAGTGTTGGCCTGCACACTGAAGGGTGATAGGTTTGTTTCCTGGCAAGGCCAAGGGTGTGTACCTGAGTTGCAGGTTCCAGCTCCTGCTGGTCCAGATTGGTGTGGGGCTGGGTTGGGAGGCAACCAACCAAGGTCCCTCCCTCCCTCCCTCCCTAAAAATGGATGGAAAAAATATCCTCAGGTGAGGATTAACAAAACAAAAACAGAATCCTTAAATTCTGTTATTTTTATTTGAATAAAGTTTAGATTTTCCTTTTATCTCTTATCTCTAGCTTTAAATAACAAATCAATTCTCAAATTTTTCATAAATAAGACAGTTTCTAATATTGTTAATGTTATATTTAATATTTGTTTCAGGGCAACAGTGGGAACAGAGATAATTGAAATTTACAAATAACCCTCTAATCTTATCATTATTTCAAATTTGTCCTTTGAACTTTATATGTCAGTTACTGAGATTTTAAATATTTGGGCTAAGAAGAAACAAAAGGAAAAATATTGGGGTGAAAGAGCAATAGATATGAAGTGGAAATCAAACCCAGAAAAGGGAAGTATTGATTGGATTGTGAATAGATTTGTCTGACATCAAGATTGATAGGGTTGATTATGTAGAAAGTGCTAATGAATAATTTGATTTTTTTTGTAAACCACATCATATGAAATTAACCAAGCCGTGCCAAAGGTGGTTTCAAAATTTAAACAATCAGAACTCCATAATGTAAGGCACACTTATTTTTTTTCTTTTTTTAGGTTATTAGCCTTTCTTTTTTAATAGAACTGTAGTCAATTTTTTTCCTCCTTTTAGTTTTCAGACTTTGGGGAAAATAATTAGTGGAAAATACTTAATGTTTTCTTTGACTTATTAAAATTCAGATTGTGAGCTCTATACAAGCAGCTTTAAAATAAGATTTGTATATTAATAACTTTCTGCTTTAAAAGTTATTAGAAGTATATAAAGTTGCATCAATCTAAGATACCAAGCTGATTATATGACATATAACTTGATGATGTGATGTGGCCACTTACCCTTTTTTTCCTGGAATCTTGATGGACCATAATTTCTTTCTCCAGTTGTTCTCTCGCAGGATTTGGTACTACAGGTTTGGTGTGAGGGATCCTGCTGTCTTTTTAACATCTATTTGTGGTATAATGCACATATCAAAAATTGCACCCTGCCCTGAGTGTTGGGTGCAAAGATTAACAAGCCCTTACAGGGATAATTGACCTTGGCCTCAATATAACATACATTTGAAACTGGTGGACTAAAGGCAACTTTAAAAATCTAGTGATTATATTTCATGTAAAGGAAATCCAATATGTTAAAGTTAAATTTTACCCAAAAGCTTAATTAGAATGTGACTACTTTACAAAATAATTCGTCCTTTTGATCATACAATCTGGAATTCTCTGTAGTACCAGCTCTTTTTAAAAGTAGAATTTGATTTCCATAAATTCACCTTCTGTGAACTTCAGTGTCAAATATTTTCATGTGAAGCAAGGTCTTTATGTTTCTTATACAGGTTCTTTTCAATCCTATTATTTTATTCTATTTTTAAAAACTTTATCCAGGAAAGTGTTAGTATTTTAAAGTGAATACTATTAAAAATCATTTACTTAGAGGTTGGGATCTGATTATGATGGGCTATAGATGTCTTTTAATATAATTTTTTTTGCCTCTGACTTTAATTGTAATATCAGAACCTTGTTAGAACTGGTGAGAAAGATAAGTTATTTGATTATGCTGCCTTCAAAGGTTATTTGGGGTCTATGTTAAAACCTTTTTAATGTACTTAACCGTAAAATGATGATAAATCATTATATTGAAGAACAGAATCCTCTCACGGGCTTTACTTACTTAATGGACATTATTTGAAAAATATACAGCTGGTATAATTTAAGAGTCAAATTATATAGTTTGTAATTTAAAAATTTGTAGTTGTATATAATATGCTGAACTGAGTTAGATTTTTCTGTTCGACTTAACACATTGTAGGCCAGTAGTTTTATTGCTAGCTTTACCCAGTGGCCAGATAAGTTTCTATTGAATGAGTACAAAAAATGTTTACATAAATGTTAAAGGCACGCTTTAAAATTAAATACCATTGCATTTTGAAGTTATTTATTACAGGTTCTTACAAGCTAATATCTTTTTAAAGTATGATACTTTGTAAAACACTGTAATATGTAGCGAGAATTCTCATAATCCATCCTCAATGTGTTAAAAAAAAAACACTCATGCAGATAGATAGCATTGATAAATCTTCAAATTAAAATATTGTAAACACGAAGAGTAAAAAATTTAACATAGTGTTTCTATATATTGCTCCACTATATCAGAATGTAATTTCCACCAAAGATTTTTGTTTATTGCTATGCTCCTAAAATATAGAACAGTCCCTGCACATAATACACAGTGCATATTTGGTGAATGAATTACCTTCTAGTTTGGAATGTATTTCTGATGATACTTTTGTATGAGGCCTTTTACCAAAATCTGTGGATTGGATTCATTTGTATTTACAATTTATTGAATAAGCTTAATTTTGTTGCTGTTTATACTGCTGATTTACCGGGGAAACAAACCTGTCAGAGACAGTGTTTTCATTTATATGGCTCTTGCATGGGAATAATTTTGTACAAATGTGGTTCTTTCATGAGGAAATAAAATCCAAAGTGGGTAATGGTTGGCTTGAGGCAAATAAAAGATGTTTCCTGACCAGTTGCCTACAGCTGATGAGCTCCAGTAAGAGCGAAACCAGTTCTCACTTCACTGGAACCATTTAGAAGTGTGAATTGGTCCTGTAGTACTGTGTCAGAAACAAACAGCTCTGGGGGGAAAAGTGCTGAATTAAGAGGATTTTATGACTCTGCTAAGTTTTAAATACTACAGTATTTTCCTCTAATGAGCTATAGTTGCTAAAAGTCAGAGAAGTGTTACTTTTTACTTCAAAAAAGCAAAAGATGTTGTAACTTTA